TGATAAATTTCACCCTGGATTCAGCCACAGCCATGCCACTGAGGCTGCCCTTGTCAAAGTCATAAATGGTCTGAATGCCGCTGCTGAAAAGGAAGCCTGGACTTGTTTGTACTATCAGATCTAGCCATGGGGGGGTTATTCTGTAAAAGGCTGGATTCTGTTGCAGTGCCTAGGTGACTGGCTAGTGTTGACTGAGAATGCGTTGAAATGGTTCCAGCGGTACTTGATTGCTTTCCCCAATCAACATAGTAGGGTAAATTCTCCTCAAGAGCAACCAGTTTCACATAATGACACTTGATCCCAGGGAGAATTCACCGGCGGCCTGACTTAGTTGGCACTGATGCTTTACGCTCTTTCTCTTGCCTTTCAGAGAGATATATGAGACGCATTAGAGCAGTGTATTAGAACTCCTTTTTGGCTTTGTTGAAGAGGACTATATTTCTAAAAGTACCAACAATCAGATATTCAGAAACAAAAGACTTTCTTGTGCAGTCAAGATTATTAATAGAGATAAAACACTAGTTTGTACCTGTTAATTTGAAGTTAGACTTCTTTTTCATTTTTTATTTTTTCTTAAAAAAAGAGGCCTGAATTCTGTTTGTAAATCTGGAGTGACAGTGCTGACACCAATAGATACATACAGTTGTAAATAACTGAAAAGGAGAATCTGGCTCAATTGTCTGAAAACCAGAAGTCACTGAACAACTTTCCATGGGACTTCAGTTTACATTCATGACCAGTAAGCCTAACAAAGAAACTCCAGTGCTGCTTCTGCTACGCACATCCACTCCAGTTCAACCAGTAGTCTGGTACCATTTTAATCCTGTAGAAATTTTCTCTATTCTCTGATTTCTCAGGCTGTAGCAAGGCTGTAATCAGCAGAGGGATTGCAAACCTTAGACCGAAGACCTGAAAAGGGGTTTAGCTACAGATCTTTCTGAATCTTGTGAGTAGGAAAACAGATTTGCTTCTCCTCAAGATGCCTCTCATCAATAACATATAGTATCTGAAATTAGCATCCAGTGAGATTACCTGCAAATTCTCCAGTCTGAGATAATCACCAATGTAACTAAATAGGTCAAGCTGCAAAGGAAATTTGGATGAAACTTCACATTTGTAACAGATATGGGTTCTCAGTTGCTATAATGTAAGGGTCTGTAAAATCTGAATATGATTAACAATCTTCTGTGAACTTCATAGATATGAAATGTGCAGTGTGCAAAAGAGCTATCCTGAATAATTAATTTATGCATCAGCTTTCTCATGTGTCTTCATATGTCCATGAGCTGAGGTAACCTGTTACCTTTAAGGAGCCTATAGAAGAGGATTTTTTTTTTTTTTTTGCTTTTTTACTTCATGACATAATAATTTAAACTAGTATAATAGATGTAAAAGGACAAATGATCTCATGTGCAGTGGGAACCTAAACAAAAATGAATTTGAAACCTTTCTCATTAAAAAATCAGAAAATAATTAAATCCAAGCACATCATTATTTTGTTACTAAAATGATATCAGAAATACATGCAATGTACATAAACATACATTAAATCTGTAGGACATTTCAACTCTCCATTTTCACCCAAGATGCACATTAGTAATCTGAATAGGAAGTTTATTAACATATAGTTATAAATTGAAGAATAGTATTTCATAGATGGCACAGATTAGAATTTGACTTGGCATGTTTATTAACACTATTGAACAAGCTCTGTTTAAGAAACTAGAAGAAAACATACCCTATTCACTTTTTCCTGATGAATCTTAATTTCTGTCAGACATCCCCTGATTTGTAAATCAATCTTATATTTTTCCGATGGAAATACCTAAACATTCACATTGAGAATATATACACTTTGCTTTAAAATGGCCTTTTAATAGTTTCTTTTATATTAGGCTTCTCAAAAATTAATTGGACAATACAAACTGATGACTTCCATTTTTGCATGTTGCATTATAGTTAACCACCCCATAATAGGGCCCTCCAAGCAGGCTTCTTGGTTCAGTAATGTGCATGCCTCTTGTTAATACCATCATTCCTAATCATAACTCAGGAGAACAAATCCTGCTACAAGTTGAGAACCATTTTACAATTAACTTATAAATAAGTAGACCATAACTATATTGTGTTATGTCACTTTGTTTTTACAGCCTCTTACCATGCTTCAAACAAGCAAATTAGACATACAGTGTTGGGTGATATATGAGATGGAATGTTGCAAAGGACATATATTTCAATGACCTGAGTTTGAAAGGATCATCTAAAGGTTCATCACTTTGATCATTTCAGAGAGATGAAAACCTCTGTTTTGTTGATTTGCTCTGCTTTGCTTTGCTTTTTGGCACTTCATAGTAAACCATTTTACCTAGGTCATTGCCCAAGACTAAGAGAGACAGGACTTAATGTTTTGTTAAGAATTCTTTCAATGGTTCTGAAAACATAATTTTCTGTATCAAGCTAACACTGTTTCTTTGTCTAATATTTAATGATTGACCAAGACCAAATCCAGATGGTTCATATTATTAAGATAATGTCAGCATCTTGCTGGGCACAGGAAGTATTTGCAGCTGCAGTAGCTTGTGAGATACTGAGACACAAACCTGTCTTTAGTCCCCTTTCTGACCTACTGGAAAGATTAAGCAGGGGAAAAATTCCACTCGGAGGGAGAATAATATTTTAAAGAAAGTTGGAACAAAGGAACTGCTTTTCTTTGTATCAACAAGATTTTTAGGTCAGAGGTCATTCAAAATTAGCCAGACTTTGAATTTTATTTCCATGTAGTGATATTTAACCTTCCTTCTCTTCAAAATAAGGTTGACTAACCTTCCGTGATGCAATTAAATGTCCTTGAAACTGTGTGCACGTAAGTAGAAGGAAACAGACTAAGTAAATGCACTGCCAAATAGCCTTATAGTCTCAAGGAAGTACATGTCTGTCCTTTTCTGTCAAGAGGCTCCCCCTTGCTCCCACTGATGTCAGTTATGGATCTGAGCATGTTCTTACTGCTATCAGCAAGAATTTTTTACTCATCCATTCCACTGACTACCATTTTTAGAAGTGTATCTTCTCTAACTGACACAAAATGTTGGATTTTTTTTTTAAAACAAATGTGCTGAGAAATACCGATTTCAAAAACCACCTAGTTAGGAATGTATACTGGTTTGGGCTGGGATAGAGTTAATTTTCTTCATAGTAGCTTTTATGGTGCTGTGCTCTGGATATGTGACCAAAACAGCATTGATAACACAGGGATGTTTTCTCTGTTGCTGAGCAGTGCTTGCACAGTGCCAAGGCCTTTTCTGTTTCCCACCAACAAGTAGGATGGGGCTCCACAAGAAGTTGGGAGGGGACACAGATGGGACAGAAGACCCCAACTGACCCAAGGGATATCCTAAACCGTATGACATCATGCTCTGCATATAAAGCTGGTGGAAGAGGAAGAAAGAGGGGAGATTTGGAGTGATAGCATTTGTCTTCCTAAATCACCATTAAGTACGATGAAGCCCTGCTTTCCGGGATATAGCTGAACACCTGCCTGCCAATGGGAAGCAGTGAATGAAGCCCTTATTCTGCTTTGCTTTACCTATTAGTCTGTCTTTACCTCAATGTGTGCATTTTCTCACTTTTACTCTTTTGATTCTCTCCACCATCCCACTGGAGGGAAATGAGTGAGAAGCTGTGGGGGACTAGGCTGCCTACTGGAGCTAACCTACAACAGATTGCCAAGTGGCAGTAATGCTATGTCATCTACAACACCAAGCACTTAATACCATGAATTGTAAAGACATCAGAATTCATCCTCTGACTACTCAGACATATCTCATTTTCATTAAATAAAGGCAAAGGTATGACACTCTAACCAATAATAAGAAAATTATTTTGCAAGGCAAAACTTCCTTCTCTGAGAGAGACGAGGATATGGCAGCAACCACAGTATGAGCTGAGAAGAACCAGGACATGTTTTAGCTGAGTAGAGAAAGAAGGCAGCCATCTCCCACCTATATGAGACTGGAAGAATCTGCAGGCCAGGAAATGTGAAGACTTTTATGAGAGGCAACAACTGAAGATGCAAGGTTATGGCCTGAAATGATATGGCAAATGGCTGTTCTCCACAGTGACTGATAAAGTTACAATAGAGAGAACTTATGAGAGGAGACGAAGAAATTATCTTCAGCCATAAGGAGCTCACTGAGGTGGTGACCAGACATTGCCAAGGAGACATCAGTTTGTGTTTTCAGTTTGAATGGAAGTGGATAAATATTGATCAGAAATGGACTTGTGAATCTCAGCACAGAGACAGCAGTTGAATTTGTGCCCTGCAGTCAGTAGGTCAGGTAGGTTAAGGAAGGGATGGAGTCTCTGAGATCTGTTTGAGGAGAAAACAGTGGAGAAATTGGCACGAACAACGCCAGTGGAATTGCAGCAAGAGGCCCAGCACTGAGTCAGAGATGAACTCCAGGCAGCAAAAATAAACAACACTCTCAGCATGCTTACAGATAAGAGGGAGAAGGGGGGTGCAATGGTAGTTGTGGAGGCAAGCAGGTTCGATGTGTGTTTTCAAAGTGGAGAGATTAAACACACACTTGTTTTGAGAGGAGGGAGAAGCAAAGACATATGACAATGTACAGAGAAGAACAGAAAAAGAGGTAAGCAAGCACCAGGGAGAGGAGAAGATGGAATAACTCGTTCCGCTTAACGCTTGCATCCATTTTGCAGATCAAAACTGCACTAATTTGGGAAGCAGTTTATATAATCCATAAAAATGCATTTTATTAGCTTTTTTTTGCTTTGAATCACTGACTTCTAAAGAACGAGAACAGCCATAAATGCTATTGTCTCCACAGGCAGCAATTTGGAAATAGAAGATGCATGGTTACATGATAAGTGTATTTTCTACATAAAAAATGTTTGTAAATCAGGTTTAAAATAAGGGGGAAATAACTTGAAAATATTCTGTACTTCAGAAAATAATAAAATGTCTTCTTATTTTCCCCTGGTAGGCCACGCAATGCAGACTACTTTATGCAGGAAGCTAAACGGAAGAAGCATAAAGCAGATGCAATGGTAAGAGTATTTCCTTTCCAGTTATGTTGCTACAAATTATTTTTGCAATGCAGTTTCTTCATCAGTGCAGTATTGTTGGGGTAATTATAAAATCTATTATAAGGATGGCTAGGCTTGTTAAATTAAGAAATGTTTATATAATCAAATGTTCATAGACCAATAAACTATGACTTAACAAATAATGACTTACTGAGATAAAGGCCTGGATAAATAAAACTTTCCATTTATGCCTTTGCTTTAATTAGTAACTGTAGTAATGGAGACTGTGTAAGGGATCCACATACCTAGCTTCTCAGTTTAACTAGCTGGCTAAGTCCTATAATTGTATCCCCAAATCTGGTCTGGTGGCTGTTGGGTGCCAAAAGAATCCTGGTTTTGTGGCAGCCATTTCCTAATGTAATCAGAAGCAGACAAAGAATCTGCGTCACCCTGGAGAAACATCTTACACACAAAGGACTGTTGCAACAAACAGATTCTTGGCCCTGGCTTTGACCTGTCTAAAAATGTAGCCAGTAAGAAAAAGGGGAATCTGAGGTTATATGGAGCACTAAAGAGGTGCTTGTCTTTCCAAACAAATGGGTGCAACCAAGTATATGGTGCTCCTTGAGAGCTCTGCTCAGTCGTCTCTCAGCTTTCTCCAAGTCTACATTTGTCCAGCACTACGCATAAGCTAGCCCAGCCTTAAAAACATTAGGCCTCTGGGATGGCAGATGCAACACAGAGGCTGGGACCTGGCATTAATTTGGCTATCTTGAAACTGGCAGCAGCTGCAGCCGTGCCTTGCTCTGTCAGACAGACCTTGTTGTCACAGCAGCAAGAAAGAAGGTAGCTCAGAGCCTCTTTTTCTTCATCACTTTCTCAGCTGTGCAGAATGTAAAAAGGCCAAGGAAGTAGAAGCAGGCCCTTAATTTAGGACACTAACACTGAGTTTTACACTCTACCTGAGTTTATTAGCACAAATTTCCATGGTTTATTCAGTTCCGTATTACTCTAAAGTGAGTCTTAAATCAGAAAACATTGTGGAGAAGTACAAATGGTGCATTTTAGTGTGTTGCTTTAAACAGGATGGAAAAGATTACTTAATATGCAAAGGAAATTCTTAGCCTGAAGAGAAATGTTTTTATGGTAGACTCCCAGAAACAGGAGGTACAAGCATTATTTTCTGCTCTGCCACAAGTTTCCTGCATGAAAGTCACTTAGGCACAGTTTAAATAGCCTCCCATCAGTATTAGGTGATTGAAATATCTTTCACATTCAGCTTCCCTACACAGTGGACCAGCACCTTACTTACACCTTGTGAATCACCCTTTGCAGGTACTTCCTCTCCCTCCTTGACTGTGTAGGGATCCTGGAGGAATTGCCATGTTGCCAAAGTGCCTCCAGGCACTTTGAATCACCTTGCTGGGCTCAGTACCTCCTACTTTGGCACCGCAATACCTAGCATAGGCACTTAGAGTGAGCAGTCTGAAAATTACTGTAAGTCTCTCTGCTCCTTAGTCCCCCATCTGTGAAATTGGGATAATAGCACTTCCACCAGCACAAGAGCATTGGGAAGAGAAATATAATAAAAAGTTTGTGAAGTTCTCTGATATGATTGCAGTGGGAGTCATATAAAAACCTAAAATAGATTGAAGCCAGTGTGCCATTCCAAAGTTACTATTTAAAATCTTTATCCCTTGGAAAAGAATAAGGTCCATTAACCTTTCACTGTGTGCATCGGATTTCAACCAAATGCATCCAGTCCATTAATGGGCTTTATGTACCGCAGGAGTTCTGACTGAAGGAAAGAGAAGTCAGGACAGAGAGGTATTAGTATGATTCATCTCTGTCCACATCAAAAATGAAATTCTGAGAGCAGATAAGTGGTATGGAAGTGTACACATATGAATATTATATGCATATTTGCATATATGCCATCACTGAGGACATAGATGCACGTATATCCACAAGTACACAAATACACACACACGGAGTCAAAGGAGTACCGAAAATAGGAGAAAAAATGGGGCAAGTAAGGAGGATGGCAGAAGAAGCTGAGCGAGCAGAGCAGTCCCTGAAAGAGGAAGAGTATATTCCTGACAAGGAGAGTGTGGTCAAGCAGTGCTGGAAATTATAGAGATAGAGAAGACATGAGAACAGAGATGAGCCTTTGAGTAAGAGTTAGTAGTCAAAGTATTTAATTCTCATTCTCTTAGTTCAAGAAAGCCATTACCTTTCTTTGTTGAATAATGAAAAACTACATTTGCAAAGGTATGTGAAACCCTTTTTAATGAAAGCTGGAACAAAAGGTCAGATGAGTTTGTGGAATTTCCAGCACTGAAAGCTTTGACAAACATCTGTCAGGAGTATCCTAGGCAGAGTTGATCCTTCTTTGGACACAAGAGTATGGACCAAATAACACCTCATAGCTTTTTTTTTATCTGTATCTTATGATTTTCCCTGATGTACAGGGTTTGATGGGTTTTAGCTTTCTCATAGGAAAAATTGTGAATCTGAAGATATACCAACTTGTATCAAGTTCACAATTCATGTTGAAAATATCCCATCAAATGTAACCATATCTTGATGATTACACTATTTCTCTGTGTCCTCATTTTTTCCCTCTAGGTGGAAAAGTTTGGAAAGGCACTGAATTATGCAGAAGCAGCACTATCGTTTATTGAGTGTGGAAATGCAATGGAGCAAGGCCCAATGGAATCTAAATCCCCTTATACAATGTATTCAGAAACAGTTGAACTCATCAGGTAGGAAAGGAGGAGATGACCTTGGGAATTACTCTTGTTTGTGCAAACATGCTCATCTATATTATCACATAATTCACTAGATACAGTAAATGGGGATAAGTGAGGTCCTCCCAAGTGCCTGGTCAGTCAAATGTAATGTATGTGTATTATCTGTGATTTCTACGGAAATTAAATCAGAAAACTGTGTAGAGTGAAAAAAAAAAAAAAATCCCAAAGCTTTTTGTATTACTTGAGTTGCAAATTAATTCAAGAGTTTTATGATACAAGCCCTATCCTACTCAAAAGAGAAAAATAATAATAAATCATATCAAAACATTCTCATGGAGTGGTAGTTTGCAAAATGTTGTAGTGTGTTTAAGATCACAGTTTAAAGGTTACCTGAAAGAAGATGTGAACAGTGATAGAAAAATGGACACTCAAGGTCCATTTGGTGTGTATGCTCCTATCGTAATCAGTGGAGTCCCAAAAGCAGTCCAGCTCACACTAAAGTTACCTCTACATTCAGTCACCTTCATGGCTCTCCAAACAGGACAGTCTAGAATTCAGTCCCACCCCCAGTTCCTGTGAAGTAAGTTTGCCTCTTAAGTCCTTTTCTTTGTTATAGTTGGTCCTAATAGTTAATATTATTGACAGTACCAGTAGAGAAAACAAAGGTCAAAATCATCACAGCAGCTGAGTGACTCTCTCCATAAAAGGGTGAGTCCAGGCACACTAGTGGCTACAGCTGCACTGTCAGTGACCATGGCATCATTCCTCAGGACAATCAACCCCACAGCTCTCGTCAGGACTAGGAAGTTCATAGGAAGTAAAACATTTTCATTTTTAATCATATTCATAATGAAGCAAATCTTCTAAAACAATTGCATTCTTTTGGATTTAGTGTTGATGTGAAGATTTTCCCTCATGTTAACAATTCCATTGGCATTTTATTCCAATTAAGGCTCTCTTCTCATGCATTTCAGTGGATTGACACCAGCTTTCTAACTGGAAGTTTAGAACAACAAACAAAATGAAGTATTTTTTTTTTCACTAAGAGAATAGTACCTACCATCTCTTCAAGTCTTCCCTTCTTTTTTTTCCAAAAGGCAGAAAGCTCTGCCTTTGTCTGCCCTGTGTTTTCTCATGATAGTAAATATATGGTCCTAACTCTGGAAATGAATTTTGCTTGCATATCCATAGCTTTCAATAATGTGTGTAGCTGTGGTTGTGTTGCAGTGTGAATTGCTGATCTCACTTGCTGCAGCTCAAAAAAATAAGTGGTTCACTGGGTATGCCTGTTGAAACAAAATGTTCATACCGAATCTTTGCACAAATATCAGGATTAAAGTTTGAAAACAAAGATAAGAAAAAACCACAAAGAACTAATTATGAGGAACAGGTATTTTTCTGGAAGCAAGCCCAGAAGTGATGTGTGTTGTCCTAACCTTGTCCATTGTTCAGGTATTCAGCTGGAAGCTGAGATTTTCAGAAACTAATTTGTGATTGCATAGCACATACACTCTTGAAACAGCAGTGCTACCTCTGTGGATGTTTAATATTTATAGAATTTGAATGTAATGTCATATGAGCAAAAATAGCTCTAAGCCACATGTTGCCCCTCTGCCGTGCTCTGCTCGGAGGAACAAATCTGGGTAGACACGCTCAGAGCTAGCAGGGTGAGGGCAGCACCAGCTCCAAGGCAGGCTGGCTGCCTTCAAATGCTGTGGAATCCATTCTGCCTGAATTCTGCATAACTGGGTCTCCAGAGCAGCAGAGGTTATTTTGGTAGGACAGCATCACCTCGCCAGCTAGGCTGCCCTCTGGACTGATGGATGTTCAAGGTGGTTACTGCTGTTTAAAGAGTGCAGGGAGGCACTGCTAGTGCCAAAACAGTGCTGAAACACAACCAGAAAAAGCACATGTATGTCTGGTAACTTGAGAAAATATGTGCAAGGGGGCAGACCAAATGACATCAGCCAGTTTAGCTCTCTGATCAGTAATATAAAGCTGTCTCAGTTAACTCACATTGTATTGTTTTTCCTTTTGCCTAAGGTACGTGGTGAGACTAAAAACCCACTCAGGCCCCAACTCCACACCAGAAGACAAACAGCTGGCAGCACTATGGTTAGTAGATCAAGACTTCCTCAGAGGGCTTCTTTTCTGCAGTGAGCCAGTTCTTGAAAATCAGATGCTGGACACAGCCAGATAGGATTATGTTGTCTGTTGAAATTAAGAGAATACTTTCTGCTCCGGAAAGGTCCAGCCCTTGTATCACTGTACCAGGTCTGCATTCTGTCTCTGTAAATAAGCAATTCATACTTATTGACTGTGACAGGTCAGCTATGGTATGTCAGCATAATTAATTTTTAAATGCCTGACGGTTTGTTGTTTTTATGAGTGATGTACTTTTGCACCAATAGCTCAGTAATTTCTTTTGTGGCTGACATTTTAGGCCAAATAATCATAAATTATATTTGCATTATATGAAGGGAGATAGTGATGGTGATAATTAAGCTTCTTGGATTACCTTCTTAATTGAAATTTCTAGATCTATATGTATGCACCCTAGATTCTATAGGATGGTTGCTGATTGCTAGTAAGATACTAAAATGTTATTAAAATCAAATTTTAATTTAATATCTATGTAGTTAATACATAAAATAACTATTACATGGTTAGTGATTCTCAGTAAGTGGACATTTACAATCAGCAAGTATGTTTTTAACACCTATTAACCATCTGTTAAAAATCCAAATTAAATGCATCTTTAGCCTCCATAAATAAAGAGTCCTAATTAATCATTGGTATAAAAAAGAACAAAATATTCTGAGATGCTTTTTTTTTTTTTTTTTTAAACGCCCTTTCTTTGTCACTGGTTTGCTGTGCCACCGGGCGGAGCACAGGATGCGTGCCTGGCAATAGCTTTCAAAAATGCATAGGTGGGAAAACGACTAAAGAACGGTGGGAAAAAAAAAAAAAAAAAAAAAAAAAAGAATGAAGCCTTATTCGGCAGGGTGCTCAGAGATGCCGGAGCATGGAACCACTGCATCTGTTCCCGCAGAAAGGTCAGAGCAAGGGAAAGCCAGACGGTGCCTTCTCCGGGCGATGAATAGCAATCTTAACTCCCCGTCTGCCAGCCAGCAGATGAGCTGACACCATTTGCATATGTGCTGTACCTGGGAAGGTGACAGAGGGAGAGTTATGATGGCTCCCAGGCCACCCCGCCTCCCCCAGCTGCCCCCCACCCCGCCGCCGCACCCGGCGCCGCTTCTCCTGAGGAGAGACTGTCCTCCAGCGGCCGAAGGCAGAAATTCACCGCCTGCTTTCAAGACAGGAGGCAAACGGCTTGAGAAACCCTCGCTGGAATTTTGTATTTTTCTTTTTTTTTTTTTTTTTTTTCTTTTTTTTGTGTATTTTTTCCCCAGAGCAATTCGCTAATGCGGGGGGTTTGCTGAGGTTTGTGCAGCTCCCGGGCGCGGGGCGTTGAGGAGTGCTCTGAGCTTCCAAACTCAAGCCACCTTCTGGTGCTTTGGGTTGGCTCTGCTTTTAAAATACCACTTTTTAAACACAAGGGCCCTGCTGCCAAATTAAAAACAAAACACACCAGATTTTTTCTTCAAAAGCTGTGTTACCAAGGGGCAATCCCACACTTGCCGATCAAAAAGCTTGCTGGGAAAAGGTGGTGGTGAGTCTTGATTTGGAAAACAGACCGGTACACCTAAACCAATAGCAAAGAAAAGAGCTTGTGTGTCCTGAATGCTGATTATCAGTTATTGTCATGTATGATTATAGTTAATGGCTATTACCATCATTTAATTACAAAGCATTAAAGGTGTGCAGCACTCTGCAGACTAACAAGGAGCAAGAGGGCAGACAGTTCCAGTACAGTACATTGAATTCTTCAGCACACTGCTGGTTTCCTCTGAGGAACAAAATGGGCAGGTGGCCTAGAAATAGCCCCCAGGCTCCAACACAGTCTCCTTTCTGTTTTCCCACAGCAGAGCTTGGCCAGTGAAATCTGGGCAGGTCTGAGGTTTCCCTGTTTCCCAGCTATGTCCAGCTGTTGGAGGAGACTCCTGGGTGTACACAAAATACACCCGTTATAAATCTAGTTCATTACACAAGCTCCAGGCTGTTGTAATAAAGGCCCAGGATAAGATACCCTAAAAGGCTGCCTTTGCATTTTCAAAAAGAAATACAAAACAATGCGTATGTTGGAGTCCAGGCCTGTAATGACCTTTTCATGGGAGAGGCCTTCGGTCAAATGTGCAGACTTCAAGCCAGAGTCAAGGCCTGGGAACCCAAACCCGCAAACCCTTCTGACTGTAATTTGTTTAGTGCCTCACCAGTAGCATCTGTCAGTGTGACCTGTCCTGGAGGTAATGCCAAGCCTTGTTCATGAATCCATGGAAAAGTGTGAAGTACTGTAAACAAATTGTGATTAAAAACTGTAAGCAAGGTGCTGCCAGCCTTCCACTTTATAACATTTGAGAATTTAAGATAATTAATTGGGATTTCTGTTCAGGCAGCACGCTTTACCTTCTGCTCTCCCTTTTGTTCTAGTTACCGCTGCCTGGCCCTTCTGTACTGGAGGATGTTCCGACTCAAGAGAGACCATGCAGTGAAGTATTCAAAGGCACTTATTGAGTATTTCAAGGTGCATTATTTATGACATGTTTTTAGATCAGTGTGTAATAGTAGGCAATACATCTTACTAAAACAGTAGCTGTGCTGGGTTTAGTTCTTCCCCTGTGACGTCGGTAGAGTTTTACCATAGACTCCCATGGCAACACCTGATCTCTAGTCAGTTCTGCTGTCTGCACAAGGGCCCCTCTTTGCAAGATACACACTGTATCCCTTCATGAAGGATGAGAAATGTATTGTACTAACAAACAGGCATTTTCAGCTTATTCTTGGTCCATTGTCTAGTGCTATCCAGCTCTGTTGTGAATAGATTTTGCAGATTTTGCTCTAAGAATCCCCTCCAGGATTACACTTGCCCTTAAATTACCTGTGAGTTGAAGACTTTGACCTAGATAGGTCCTCAGCTGCAGGACTTCCACGTAGCAGCATCGATAGGTGGGATGGTGCAGTGGGACACATTCTTTCGCAAGGAACTGGCAAACAGCCCACACTAACTTCAGTGGGAACTGCCTGAAAGCATCTTAGCGCAGCCAAACCGCCTGCCATGTACTTGACACAGCACTGCTGGCTTCCCCTTCCTGCTTTGCTTCGCCTGCTACTGCTTCCATTTTACACTCCCTTCCAGGTCCAAAACCTAGTTATTTTGAATAAGACAGGTAGTCATTCAAAGTATTTTAATATATTTTATTTGACAGGCACCTTTTCTCTGGAAAGTATCTCAAGAACAAAACCTTTCAGGCGGAGCTCACCTACCAGTCAGTCCATCCAGCATTTGATCTACAAACACAATATTAGCACTTATCTTTCTAATTAAAAAAAAAAAAAAATAACATGAACATACAAGTACTTTAAGACAAACTGCTTTGGAGCACCTGAACAGCCATTCATCTTTGAACACAGGGCTCATCCATTGAGGTTTTTTTGCAGAGGGAGGTACCTTGAAATGAAAAACATCCATCCTTTGACATGTTGTTAATAAAAAAATTCAAATACAAGCACGAATCCTCATGACCAGATTCTGAACACATGAAGACAGTGAAGGAAACTGACAGATCCGTTATTGTCAAACTGAGATTGAAGCCACTGTAATTGCTTCTAAAAATTTAGCAATATATAATTCAACATGTTATGTTTCTCTAACAATGACTTGATTTCAAGGGAAAGAAATATGTGCCTATTACAGTATTTTATTTTTCTTTACCAGTTCAGAGAATACCTGCATTAAGAACAGGATGGTCAGGCTCTCAACCATGTAGAATGTCTCCTATTAACAGACAGACACTGTTTCACAGCAAACATAAAATGGACTTATACTCTACTATAGCCAAGATGAGCTTGTTTTTTTGCAGGGCTCCTGCTGATATAATGATAGCGTAGTTTCACATTAGAAAGTATTCTCACCTTTGAAAGTAAAAATGGAAAAAAAAATCCATTTGCTATAATTTTCTGTGGAAAACAAGACAATTCTCCACTCATTTCATATTTGGCATCTAAAAGCTTTCAAAACCAAGTGACATGAAATGCTGACTGCATTAAGAACTTCCACATATATTATCAAAGAAACTTTGTCATACACATTTTCAGGGAAAATTAGACACACTTTTCTTTTGGAAAAGAAAAAATTATTATTTAAATCTTCTTTTAAGTATTTTATTTCCTTTATAAAAAAAAGTGCATTAGAGAATTAAAAAGAAGCCACGGATATTCAAGGGCCAGACACATTGGAGAGCATAACGAAATCAGGAGAATGGGTAGCAATAAACAAAGTGGGATGCTCTCTTACAACATTACGCTCTTTAGAATCCTTACCCCCACTTTTCTGGTGCAGAACTGAGAGGAAACTAGAGTAATATACCTAAAACATAAGAAAAAGGTGTGGGAAGTTGTACAGTAAGGCAGAGGCTGGTTACATTTACAGCAAATGTATCCTTTACTCCACTTCAATTTCTGTATTCTCCTGCCTCCAACTCTGTAATAACATGTACTCAGTTTCAATTATACTAGAAAGATGAAGTCCAGTAGTTCTGAGACAGATCAGAAAAAAAAAAAAAAAAAAAAAAAAAAAAAGAACCTATTCTGTAAGAGGAGCAAATGTTAAGGATTCCCAGATTCCCAGATTGGTTCTATTTAGGATAGTAAATGAGAACTTTTAATTTTTTTCTTTTCACACCTTAGCTCTTCCTGCCCCCCCACCCAAAAAAAAAAAAAAAAAAAAAGAAAACCCATTGAAGGAAGAACCACCTGTGGAACACTCCAAAGCTTGTTTTTCATACCACTTACCCAGGACATAGAAGGCCTGGCAGGAAGAATGCCAGGACACACACCACGCTGATGTGATCACTGCTAAAATACACCCAGTGTTGGTGTGCGTGTGGAAGATGTAGGAACACAAGAGGACACATCAAAATTGAGAAAACAAACTTTCTGAAGAGAGGCTCAGGAGATATGTCCAGCTTACTACAGAACAGGTTAAGAGAGGATGTGTATTTGGAAACAGAGCTGATAATACCAGGCGACATGCAGTTTTGCTGGCATTGGACCAATAAAATCCAAAAGCTAGCTCTGAAGTTAAGAAAATTCAATCTTGAAACCCTGAAACAGAATCTGTTTTTCTAACTGTGGGGCCTACTAACCATTAGAACAGGACACAGGAGGACAAGGAGGACAAATAGTGTCTTAGCATTTCTATAATGACTAGCTATCCTTTTTAAAAATAATAAAATACAAAAAAAAAATTAAGTAATTTTGCTCCTGCTAGAAGTTCCATGATTGGTAGAAAAGGGAAATTGCAGACTGAGTGTCCTGGGGGATTACTCCTGGCCTTGAAATCCATGAAGCTCTGAAGCACCTTGTTTATCATTTTTCCTTCCTAAGCCATGGGAGACCAAGAGTTTTTGTACTGCTGTTAATGCTTGTAACTCCTGCAGCTTGCAACACCTGCAGCCTTGCATTTACACAATATCCATAAACAGATCTCGAGCTGCAGGACTTCACTTGGTCTCCCGTGGTTGTCAAGAAGGGAGGGATGTTCACCAGCACACAGTTACATGCATATATGGTTTCAGGGGAGAGTGCAAGGAGGTTACTTTGCTCTGAAGAATCAGAGACTGGCCACTGCTGAATAAGAGGCTGCAGATGGGGAGTTTCTTAGACTTTTGTTTTTTACACCCTTCTTTCTCACAATCCCAGGATTAAATCAGTTGCAGCATTTGGGAGAGGGGAGGAGTTTTCCCACAGGTCAAGTGGGCAGGAACCTGCCAGTAAACTCCCACCAGCTCTTACAGATTGACTACTAGAATCAATTTAGCTATTGTTTCCATTATTGCAGATACCTGAATTTCTCCTGCTCAGTAAATGTAGTGCTTTTACAAGGTAGTCTCTCCTCAAGCAATGAAATTATTTAGCCTAAGCACAGTATACCAGTGAGAGTCTTCATGACTGCAGGTATACAAGACATCACTGTAAATGATCCAATGTCCCCTTCTGAGGCACCTTTCAGCTAGAAGAACCTCCAGTCTACAAGGGCAGTCTCTCTGACCCTGTGAATGCTGCCACATTCATACCAAGAGGAACAGCTTCAAGAGGAGCAAATGTGAGAGAGATTATCAAGCCAGGTGGTTAAAACACTCACCTGAGTTGAGGGAGCCTCAGATTCACATCCCTGTGGTCCACCAGGCTGAGCAGACCTACACAGCCTCGCAGGTCCTGTGGGAATATTTGTCTTTGGGGGCAGGAGATCCTTCTGGTTTTCTCTATCACAAGAAATTCCAGCCCAAACCTCACAAAGAGTCCTGGCAGCACTTTCTCCTGAATTCCTAGGATTTCTGTGAAAAGTTTCAGTTTCAGCTAACATGTTTTCCTAATCAGCCCCCATCCCGGGGAGTTTAACAGACTGTGATTTGTCTGTGCTGCAGCACTGCTTCATCATAATGCCTAACCAGGTTGAGTGGGTTTATTGCATCATGAGAGTTGAATACCTCTATCTGCACAATTTTTTCTTTATATTTCTTTACTTTCATACCATTTAATATTCTTAATTTCACAGTCTTATATAAACCATATGCATTGTGAATTATTTTTTCCTTTACAGAATTCATCAAAAGCTGCCCAGAACCCATCTCCTTGGGGTGCTAGTGGAAAGTAAGTCACACGGAAACTCACATCAGATTGGCAGTCAGAAATTGTATTTTCTTAACTGCAGTATGTTCTGATACTCTCATGTTTTCAATCCCAGCACCTTCTAAGTAACTGTATTAATATCTGTTTCCAGGAGCACAGGAACTCCATCACCCATGTCCCCTAGCCCTTCTCCAGTCAGCTCTGTAGGATCCCAGGGGAGCACAGGGGCCCCTTCCCCATCTCCTATCATCAGCATTCCGCAGCGCATTCATCAGATGGCCGCCAACCACGTCAGCATCACCAACAGCATCCTGCACAGCTATGACTACTGGGAGATGGCTGACAACCTGGCCAAGGAAAACAGAGGTGAGTCAAGGCACTGGACTATTCTAGAAAACCATCACATGATTTCAGTCAGAAAAATAACTATTTTGATAGGAATCCTGTCTGCAAAGTAGGACTGCAGAGGTGATTTTTTCTTCAGTGCACTCCTAGTTTGTTCCAAAACAGCCCCAAAAGGCAATTTTGATAACTGCCTTGCTCACAAGCATCTAATTTTTTTCTTTATTTAGCTGGTCAGGACTGGTCACAGACAGGTCACAGACATAGCTTTGGGTAGCATTCACTGCCATCTATGTCATTCTGGAGAGAAAGGTGTGGGGGGGACAGGGCAGCTTCCTGCCCCAAAGTCACGGAGCTGGATGGGATGTATTTAGCCAGACCACACCAAAAAGCAGGAGCACACCACTTCCTTTCTGCAGAAGGAATTAATAGCCCCCTAGCCCTCCCCCATCCAAGCAGACACAGATGGGAAAGAGGTGCCTCCCTCCCTCCTCAAATCAGACTTCTCTCAGATGAACTGGTTTCCATGAGCATCTGACTTGATGAAAAAGTATTCCTTGGTTTTCAGGCTGATTTATGTATTTCAGGCAGGGACATGGGCAGGATTTGAATCAAAATGAGGACACCTAAGTGTAGGTGTGTATAGATGAGTTGGGGGGCTAATCTCCCATTACAGTTGACGGAGCTTTGTTCAATACAAACAGCAGAACTCAGAAAGCTGCTCAGTTCACCATGAAGGGGATACAGAGATACAAATCACTTGCCTAGCCACAGCTGCCAAATGCCACTTGTGGTATCCTTACCCACACTGCCACTCCAGATGTCTCCTGGACTTCCTGTGTTAGATCTGCCGGTCCAGACTCTATGTAATCAACTGCCAGAGGGCATCTCAAATAGGCACTGCATGCCTCTCAGTAGGCAACTGAATTTTGTCGTTAGTGGCTAGTTAGCCAAATTATTCTTTAGGCTGGGATGACCATGTTGTACAGGCCTCTATTTGTCTGTCACGGTACCTTAGATATCTAGCATATGTATAGATAGACACTTGTGTGTAGAATTTTTGATTTAATTGTCCTTAATCTCAAAATAAATCTTGCCCAGCATGTGTTTGCTTTATTAAGACTCAATGGAAATTAATGAAAAACAAAGCCAAAGAACTCACTGTTCTTTAAACAGAAAATTTGTTGTACATCAGCCTGTAACATCATGAACGACAGGGCTTTAAAATTACTCTCACCAGCACTAAACTTTCATTCCCATGAAATGTTCAGCTTCACTAGATCTGCAAGAGAATAAAATCTATTAAAGGGTGACAAGTAGCAAATACAGCTTTGCTCTTCTGATGCTTAATATTTTTTTCCCTGTAGATTTTTTTAACGACTTGGATGCATTGATGGGACCTATCACCTTGCACAGCAGTATGGAGCATTTAGTTCAGTACACTCAACAAGGACTTCACTGGGTGCGAAATAGCGCTCACTTGTCATAATGACTGTGTGCCATTCACATGGACAGTATACCTTTCATGGATAATTCAGTTATTCTGGACACTGTGCTACAGAAATAGTCAACCACAGCATTGATCCAAACAAAGGTGAATATTTCTTCAATATTGAGCAAAATTTTTCTGAGTGTAGACATGTATGTGTGCATATGTACAATATACAATGATGTCTCTTCAGAATGAGTTGTTCTATACCACTCTCCAAACATTTTCATATGCTAGAAATACTGATCTTAATGCACAAAACATACCCGTTCTATTCTTGTGCTGAAAAACTCAGAAACCAAAATTTCATGTGTTGATTGAACCAAGTGCAATAAGCACAGATCTGTATTCAAGAAAGCTCTCAATAGATTCTTAACTTTAAGCTTGTACTGAAGTCCTGTTGACTTCAGCAGAGCTTAAGCACATACACAAGAGCTTTCCTGAACTGGAATGAATGAGGGCAAATCATAGACATGGAGAACTTTTACTGCAAGCATGGACGCGTCACACAAGTTTCAATATTTATGTGCCATCTCCCTGTTACTTCCCCACTGGGGCACACAGAGGAGTTGTGCAGTCCACATTTAAGTTGGAGAAAGATGGCATTCCTACATGTGCAATAAGTTTCAACAAATTGCATGCATTTCTTTATCTCCTGTCTTTTTAAGTAACTTTACCTCTTGTTCAGCTCCTCACCAATTGTATAACCTACAGTACCAAGCAAAAATCCTGAAAATAGATAGGTTGATAGCAAGAACTTAGATGGTGGAAAATTGTATTCTGTTACTGACAGTAAATAGATAAATGAAAAAATATGGCAAACTGCAATCCACTCAGTAGAGAAAATGTGTTAATTTCAGCTGCGTACACACAGAGACAGAGATATATCTATAACAGTTGTTGGCTTTGCATGGGAAGGCTTCATCCCACGGAGTTTGACTTTCATATCTTTTTCACCTAGCAGAAGCTTGCAGCATTTTCTTCTAGGCTGTATGGGAGCATTACATGCAATTTCCTTTCTCTGGGAAGCTGAGTTTGCTGCTCATCAGGCTAAGAACTGTTTCCTATCATAATCCTCTCACTCTTCAAGCATAATCCTCAATTAGGCTTTAACATTTCTTTATTTATGGGATGTTTTCAGTTCCTGTTGACAGGCTGTGTTTTTCATGCCAGAAGAATTAATCCCACAATAATTGGAGTTTAATTTGGGTCAGTTGAGGTCAAGGCCAGTTCATATCAACTGTGCATGCATTCAGTGCATTTTTGTTCCTTTTCAGTGGTTTTCACACATTTAGTTTTCTTTTTCTGTATTGGAAATGTACATTTTTTGCAATCAGATTTGCAGCCTTTACTCAAGTCAGCAGCTCCGGTGACTTTCAATGGACTGTTCTTATCTGAGTCACTGACTGAACCCTTCAACTGTTGTTTTCTAATCTAATTTACTTATATATTGAGGAAACGTGAATGCAAAAGACTCTTTCAATAGAAGATACAAGTAGAAGTAGCCACTGATATTGTTAGTTGACTGATTGGTCCTTGCTGCCTTCTTTTTCCTCCCCCCATTTTTAAAGAGCTGCGTTTTGAAAAAAAAATACATCAACAATGTGGCACGTTTTCTCAGTAAAACGTCTTTGGTAACACAGGCTGTATGTACCCTGTGGTAAAGAGTGGACTGGAGAGCACACTGAGCCCCCCATACCTGCATTTTTTTGTCAAGGTTGCTTACCATAACTCCAACTATTGCTCAGACTCAGAGCATTCACCCCGTTCTTTGAAGCAGCTCGGCAAGGTAGCTACCAAGGACCTGCTCAGCCCCAAGCCATCCTGGGCCAATACTATCTGCCCATTGGTGCTCAGATACTTCCCCCTCAAGAGAAGTCTTGAGCTCAGGCTGTGGTCACCTCTTAGCACGGACTTGGGTGCTACAGTGTGGATGGTTTTAAGAGTGAACACGGACCTGCCTTTAAATGACAAAATACACATCCTCCTAGTCCTCCCGTCACTCTTAACTTTGGCTGTTACCCATCCCAGAAGCAACACAGTTTGTTTGGTTCACAAGTATCATGGAGAACTTGATCAGTGCCTTTCTGTTTTATCACTTGCCTGATCTCCAGCTGTGGAAGTCTGTCATGATTTACTAGACTAGTAGCAATGGATTCTGTCAGCTGCTTCAATACCATATGAAGGTACTGTGGGATTTCTCTTCAGATCAGAAAAGTGAAATTCCGGTTAGATTAGCTTCTGTTTTCTTTGACAGTGCCTATGATGTTTATCTTCAGATAAGTTTGGGAGTTTGGGAGCCCTTACTGCTATTTAATGTCGAGAAATTTTAGAAGTGACATATATTACTTGCCTTAAATGGAGTTTAGTTTTATTGCACATGTGGCATTTGAGTTTCAAATATAGAACTTTGAAGCAAGTTTATTTTACTAAGATTGGGATATTTTTCTTAATCATGATGAACTCTTTGTATGGATGTAATATGTCAAGAAACTTCAAAGAAATGCAAGAATTAATGCTGTCCTGCTGTAACATTTCCAAGTACTAAGGATCTCTTGTAGATGATTGTCCTTTCTTGTACATTATTCTTATATTGAATTATTCCAGCTAAAATACCCATTGCTTCCATGGAAAAACACACTAGTTTTTAGTTTTTATGCTGGCAGCATCTGTGTTGTCTGATGAGCACACTGAGCCTTAACTTCTGGTGGTGTAACAGGATGAAATAGCAGCCATTTAAACCAACTAGACATATAAATGGATTAGAGGTTTTGGCATTCTCTCCACAGGATTTTTTGCAGCTATGCTATTTTAGTGATGTTATTTAGAATAGAATACCCTTCTGTGCAGCCTATTTGCTGTATATGGTTGCTGTCCTTTAGATGACCAAATGTGGCATGATGACAACAAATACTTCATTTCATCTTCTTAGGGCCTGGTCTGGAAAAGTGCATGTGGCTTTTAGGTCTCGTTCAATTAAGCATATGTTCCACGTTAAGACACAGAATAGTCTTAGGCACCTTGCCATGAGTCAAAGGTGCACTGTGTGTTGTGGATGGGACCAGAGAAAACAGTCCTTCTTTGAGGTTCCATGAAAGACGCTGGCTTGTTTTAATCTGTTGTAGAAGTCCGGGAACATGCAGGCTTCTTTACACCATAGTAACATTCAGGTTCATTTTGTGAAAGTAGGAATTCATTCTGTACAAATCCAGAAGGATTATGCCTGGAGGGAGAGGTTTGCTTACAAACAGAGGCTTCTGAATCAGTCAGGGTTGGTAAAGCAATGGGAATGGATTCAAAGGAATCATGTATTGCAAGTGGATGCAACAAATGCAGAGCAGCCTGTAGAATCCTCACAGACAGCAAGATCATACAGACCTCTTGGCCTTAATCCTTTATAGTATCCCATGGTGGCATGAATGACAGGTAAGAACAAAGCATATGCAGAGGTTCAAGTGTGGCCAAAAGCCACGCATAGTCCTCCCTGTCTCATGGCAAGATACCCTAACCCCTTGTTTGCCTGTTTCTTTTATCCAAATATCACAGGGCTCCAAAGGAAGAGATTAGAGTGAACAGAGGGCCTTAGGTAAAGGAGGTTAGGAGATCAAGCCCTAAGTGTAGATACAAACACATTTGTATATACTGTAAATCTAAATAGTAATAAAAGTCACTCGGCATGAAGAATATTACTAGTGCCTACCATTGACCATCAAGTACTCATCACTGAGCAGCCATATCACCTCAGAAGTGCAGTAACTGTTATCAAAATAATTTGTGCAGCTAATTAATTTATAAGAAATGCGCCTTTGGGACTGTGCCATAGTATCTCTTTTGTAATACAAATGTTCAACCATTTTTCATGGCTACTGATTCAAATCTACATCACTAAAATGTCAGGATAACTTTTTTTCCCTAGATGAGGACATATCCTTAGACCTGGCTAATCTGTGCTTAGTTTATCTACCCAAGAGACTTTAGTAGTCACCAGCCTTAATGCATGTACAGTATATAATATTCACTGACTTAGTTGTAGGTTTTAATCCAAATGAAATTGGAATTTGCGAAACGACTTGGATTAATGGCATCTGCATTAGATATCCTGCAGATGTGACATTAAATGATTCATGATTTTAAGCAGGAAAGGTTGAATTTTATGTAAATAACAGTGGCTTAATTCCTTGATCTTTTTACAAGATTTTTTTGAAATTAAAAGATTGTCAAAGCAATAGGTTTTTTAACTCTCCTAAATTTTCTGGAGGGTCATGGGTTCATGGTCAAAGATATATTAAGAGCATCTCCTTCTGCAATATGCCTTGCCTTTACATAATCCTCTTAATGCTTAATATGTCAGAAAGAAATGTTTCTTTTTCACAGAGATAGCAACATTTCCCTCCCCCATTCAGGGAGTATCCTCAAACTAAAGAACAAAATCTCCTGGTACAATAGAAATACAAACAATGCCTGAAGAGTATGGACTTGTTAAGATAACAATAGAAGCTTGGTTGGTGCAGACCTAACATGCCTCTAATTTTGGTATCTTTTTGTTAGCATCTATATCACATATTTGAACACATTGTGTTTGAAACTAGAGAATTAGTCTGATTTTCATCTTAAAAAGGCCTGGTAGGTCTGATCACTATCATAATTATATTTGTTACATTACCTTATATGTTCTGCACTGAGGGCTGGGAAGGCATGTAACCATAAATTTGTCAGAATGCATTCAGAAAAGCACTTGGTTGATCTTATGTCTAGTCTGTCTCAAAAAATTGAGGAAAATGTCTCACCCAATATTGTTAGCATGAAAATTTGGCTACTTTAATGTCTCTCATAAAGCTGCTATTTGCCCTCAATAAGGCCAAGACTCCATTTCCAGCATTACTGGTTGCTATACTGTAAATTGTTCTTAAGGTTAATTAACAAACTGGGAAAGTCACTTTAGGCCCTGTTTGTGCTTATCTCACTAAAGCTACATACAGGAAAACCACTCGAATTTGGAGCATCCAAGTCTCTGTCATTCTCTCAAAAGACTACAGTTTTCCTCAGTGACATGGGCAGGATTCAGCTGGGGCTATTTC